TTTTATTTTGTGAGAGCATAGCCACTGTGAACTGTGGAGATTCTTTGGCCCTCGGTTCAATTCTGTCTGCTGCTCTCTTTATTTTCCAGCTGGAGGGCTGATATACAAGTTATGATAGAGCACCGTCTTTCGGGTGAGGCATTTAAGCCGTTGGTCCTGTGTGCAATATGGCCCATGTGCACGCTGGAGAGGGCAGTACACTCTTTTGAAAAGAGTGGAGAATTGTCTCCCATTGTACTGCCCAGTTCACCAATATCAGGTGTTGTAGTGACCCCACTGAAAACAAGTCTTCAGACTTCAGTCAGTGGGTTTTCCTCTTACTCCTACAGAAAGACCTCTAGTGTGATGGTGCATTAAGTCATTGGTCCTATGTACGTACTGCATGTGTGCTTGAAACTCGGTACACTATTTGAAAATAGCAGAGGATTGTTTCCTCTTGTACCTTTCCGACCATGTTGTTATCACCATGTTATCACCGTCTTTGTGAAGGAATGACAATACTCTACTTCTTTCCATTTCTTTGTCAATATTTTAACTTATTTGTCTTCTTTTGTAGCCGACGATAATGCTGATGTGGAAAAATTTTGTAGGGACAAAAAATATGTTTTTAATGCTCCTCCGAGAGATACTGTAGTAATTTAGGTTTACTTTTAGGCTTGTTTTTTATTCGTATTGCCAGGAAATAAAAAAATAAATAATAAATAGGATGTTCTTTTGTTTGTGTTATAGTAATCTATTATCGTCTGCGTTAATAATGTCAAATTTGGCAACAAAACAAGTTGATTGTGAGTAACCTGTTCTATTTACGTCACGCAGACTCTGATTCGATCAGCTTTCGTCCTAGTATTGCTATCTGCTACCAATTAAACTGGATTAGATTTCATTAGGAAATGAAACATTCTATAACAGGGATGAGAATAAACTAGCAAAATTGATTCATAAAACAAGGAAACAAAGTGCTATAGGGTAGATACAGGTGTCTTACCCTATCTGTGATAGGGCAAATAAATACAGTTATGGGAAATTCGACCAATCACAGGTTTTGGACTTAGCAAAATGGCATGTTAATAGAATCCATGAATGTGATTTAAGAAATCTTGTTCATGTTAAAGTATCATAAACTGAAGCCTTCAATTGTGAAGTGAAAATATCTCAGTTCTCTTTAAAAAAATCTTCTTTAACAGAAATTGTTGAATTCCATTCAATTTTAATTGAATGATAGATTGCGTTGTAATACAAGAATACTGAATTTGATATATGATATCTTATGATTTAAATTTCTTCATACCTTTTTAGGATTGTCAAGAAAGATAATAAAAATAATTATTATTTTTAATTTCCTATGAAAATCCACCATGCACTACTATGAGAAAATAAATGTTATTTACACTTATTATTTCTTCGTAATTTCCGATGGTAAACATATCCATGAACTTCTTTCTTCTGCCTACTGTTCTTTTTCCTTCCATTCTCCTTTTAGTAAAAATTCTTCAATAATCCATTTCCTCTCAGTACATGACCAATCCACCTCTTTCGTCTTTGCTCCATCACAAAACTTCTCTTTGTGTTCAGTTTTGTCAATATCTTTACATTTGTTATTCTTTCTTCGTTATTCTTTCACACCATCAAAAACATGTAAATTTCTTTGATCATTTTGAGATAAACAAGTTTTATGTCATTTGTTGTGTCGTTTTCCCTACTATTTACTAAAAATAAACAACTTTTTTGTAGCACTTGTCTAGAAGTTTATACTATAAAAACAACACTGTAGGGCTATGTATGATGAAAATGTTATAATACCATGCAAATTGTAATGAAATTCACAACAAATAAATAGATTCTAAATCAACAATCATGTGATCAGGGAATTGCTGATAATACTTTGATAATGATATAATGTCAGTAATAACAAATAGTACAGTGTACACATCAAAATCAAAAAGAGGCAGAATTTGATTCTACAATTTAATTGTGGAGTTGAATAGGTTAGTGGTTAAAACACTGCCCTCTAATCCCAGGGTCCTGGGTTCAATTCCTGTGATAACAGGACTTTTTCTCATGACTGAAAACAACTCCACTTCCAAAGCCTCATAAAGAGAAAAAGCATCACATTATTTCAATTATTTAAAGAGGGCCCGGAATATCAGTCAACCTTCTAGGATAAGCTGGAAGGGACACTCATTATAAATATGCTTAAAAAAACAAAGATTTTTGGTGACACGTTAAATGGAAAATGTGATGATACAGTATTGATACAGAGAAGAGGCTTAATAAAATTATGATAGTAATTGATAATACCTGTACTGATAGGAATATCATAATATAGAAAACCTATTCCATCCCTGTTCACATTGAATTTAAATTGAAACTGCCAGAAGTATGCCAAGCATTCTGGTCAGACCTCTTATAATTTGTAAGACAGCGTATGAATGAGTATATGATATTTGATATTGTCATCTGTGTTTACTCTGCACATCCAATGGCAGTATCACATCAAATAGTTGAAGCACAACAGGCGGTGGCACAAGTCATCAAAATATGATGTAGTAAAATCTGGAAAAATGATCTAAAATTCAATGAGCTGAGAGCAAGTCAGCTTTACTGGATTTATAGACTTTAATAAAAATAAAAAACAAAATCAAACTTAATATTCATATTGTGTTTTAACAAAGAATAATGTTTTTATTCGATTTTTCAATTTGAAACTAATTCATCACCTATCCGATTGTACTGTATTTCAAAATTATTGGGCTGTAAAATGTATGTTTCAAATTTCAATAAAATAATGTGTAACTTTTATCTAAATGTCAAATAAAATTGATTGTTATTTTCATGCTAAGGATTTGAAATTATTTTTTAGGTAAGGTATTTAGCATCTATTTACTATCCTATACTAGTGGTAAACAGGTTAGATAATAATAAAAATTATTAGTTTTTATAAAATTAAAAATAAAATGAATCTTTAATTTATTCTGTCATTTATATTTCCACCTCTTCTTAGACTTTAACAACAATCTTTCAAATCCTCATTTTATTTTTTATGGAAAAATGTTTATTTGTTTTTTTGTTTTTTTTAAACAACAAATAGCAATTCTTTTTTCATGAGGGTGTGGTAAATAAATTTTCTTAAGCCTTATACAAATGTTAACAATTAAAATATTTTAATAATTATTGTTAAAGTTTATATTACCAGACTCTGAGCAATCTGGCAATTTGCTCCTTGTTAGCGCCACTTGGGTTGCGGTCCAGGATTGCGTGAGAAAAGAGGTGGATCGTTGACCCTGTGAGGCCTGGCATTTGTAATATTATTTTAAAATTTGAGAGTTCTGTTTCTATAACTTCATGTAGTGAACATATGCACTTTAAAATCTACATGATATAAATGCAAATCAATATTAATGTTTTAAATTATTTGACTTCTGAATCTTTGGGGAAGATACAGTAAGTTAAAATAATTTATAATTTAAATAAACTTCATTTACTGAAAATGTCAAAGGTTGCTTCACAGCAAAACAACAGTGTTGATTATTCAGCTGACCTTATTTTAGAGAAATCAAGGAAGCCGCTGCTCATATCTTTCTTTTTTATTACACATAGTGGAACATGCAGGCGGTATTTATTGTCAGTGATATTGGCCATCAATGTAGATCAACTTGATGAAGATTTTAAATGTTTTATGTATTTACTTCCTTGTTCCTACTGTAACTCTGTGGTTGATGTTATGAAGAAAGGTACAATTATTGAAGGGAAAAATACAGATTATCTCATTAACACGTCCGAGATTTTCTTCAAATATGCTTTTTGTGTCTTAAAAAATCAGTTTTACAATATCAACAATTTTTTTTTCCAGAGTCTGGCTTTAAAACATTTGGTTGGTTTACTGAAAAATTGTCCATCCTGTAAACTTGCATCATGTTCTATTAAGTGTCTAATCAGTTGTGTAGTAATGGCGTGGACATTCTACCTAACTTGTACGCTAATCACTATTAAATGACAAAAATTTGCAATGACATGATGTAATTAATGATGTCATTGAAAGAATTAGTAACATTTATAAGGTCACAGAATGAAGAACATGCTTGATGTCACTTGGTACCAAAGTATCAAAATGAGCAAAGACAGCGGCAAAACCAAGTCTTGCCAGGGATCATCAAACACTTTATGGTCCGAGTAGAAGGGTTTCAGATGGGTGTTTTCTGATGCATTATATTTATATATACTATGGTATTTCTTGCTGCTGTTGGACAAAAAAGTGGCGGAGAGTACTACCTTTTACTACCAATGGGATCCATCATTTGCATGAATATAATGGTTTCATTGGGAGTGTGGTATAAATTTAGCAGTGATACCACAGTATCAACATGAGCAAACTACCCCAGTATCAAAGTGCGCATTGACATTGGTGCAACCTACACGCTAATGACGATGTTGATAAACGTCAATTATTAGGCTAGATGTATTGAAGCACTCTGTTGTCAATGTCAGCTTAATTAACATCGCACAGATAGACTCGTCTTATTCTCTGACTTCCGACCTCTGCCTCAATTAACAATCGATAGATTCTCAATCCCAATTTATTTTGCTTTTCAGGAAAGCAGTAGACACATAAACACCCTTGTTAAAACACCTGTAAAGCCTGTTTACATTATTACGATAACGATCAATGTTGAAAATTGAAGAATAAAAAAAAAAGTTAGGTCTGAGAATGCCATTTCCGGCCATCTAGAGGGGCCAGCGGCGGATTCCAACTTGAATCTGCCACTGGCAGCCATTGCAGACACAAGCATTATACATAATGCATGAAATGCAAATGATTACGGTAATAATAATATCACATAGTACTATACAATTGCCTCTATGCGCTTAACATGAAAATAACCATGAATATCCTAAACCTACAAGGAAGACTATTGAACTGGTAAGGATTGTTAGTACTGTATCTAATAAATTATAAAGCTGTCTAAACATACTTTAAGAAAATTTTGTTTTGTGTTCTTCAGATTAAATTAATGACAGCACCAGCATGAGCTGACTGTAGTATGCACCTTACAAAGAGCAGATCACCGCCATCAATGGTCTGGAAGTACTCCAAGAATGGACAATAACAGAAATGTTTGACAGGAGACGCACCAAAATTGAGCATAGAAATTAATACAAGAAACAAATCCACTCTAGATGATCGAATACTTTTCGTCAGAGGTGTTTAGGTATTTGTGATGAATCAAAGAAATGGTAATGATTGCTAAGAACTTTTAAGTTCTTTTAATATGCATATTAATGACTTCCAATTTTGTAAATAAAAAAAATGTATGAGACATTAGAAAAAAAACTTCATGGTTAAAAAAAAAATGAGCTGGTATAATAGAGGATAAAGGGGTTTGCATGGAGTGTGTGGTTGCATTTTGAGAGATTTATTGACGGCTTGACAAGAATGATAAGAGAGGCTGAATGCACATGGTGAAAATAGATATTGGGTGGTTTCGAAAAGTACTTGATAAAATAGGAAGGGGTTTATTTTTGTAGAAGGGATATGGTGTTCACCGGAATATGTAGGTAATAGGTTATTTATCTTGCATTTAATAAATGAACCAAAATATTTGACAAGCAGTTTAAGTTTAAGAGTTGTTGTTAAGGTTGTTTTTTTTTTTTTTTTTTTTTTGTAGAAGGGATATGGTGTTCACCAGAATTTGTGGGTAATAGGTTATTTATCTTGCATTGAAAAAATGAACCAAAAAATTTGACAAACAGTTTTAAATTTAAGAGTTGTTGTTACGGCTGGTTTTGCTTGAGTTGATGGTAAAGTTGTCAAGCACTAGAAGTACATGTTGTGTTTATCAGCTTTTTCTGTTGCTATGTGGTACACATAACATTGGTGTGTTCATAGGTGCCGAGCATGTAGCGTTGCCACGTACATGATGGAGTGCCATGTGAGATGCTATATATGACAATGTTGATTAATGTTTTACAGTACCATATCATGTGTAATACTGAAAGGCCCGCCAACTGCAATTATAATGCACTGTGTTAGCCGACTGCGACTGCAGTGTTGTATTGTAAAATATGTGTTGATCGAAAGGTAGAGGCAGGCTAAAAACTTGTTTTCTTGTTACAGTGGTGCAAGAATAACAAACTTTTCTTTAAATTTCAAATCTTAATATTTAACTGAGCTTCTTCCTTCTGTTGGTTATTTCCCTCAATATTTATATTAAGGTTTCTTTTAATATTGCTACATTTACTATACACATAGTCCTAGATCATATTATCAGCTTGTCTTGCCAATAAATTTTGAGTACCCAAGTTATGTGATCATCATGTAACATCTCAAACTACTGTAAATTTAGGCTATGTTTACACATGGCAGCTAATGGTTAGCAGGATCCGGATTACAAACATAAGAAAACATAAGGAAATCCCTATCCAGATACCAAGAAGATGATGATCGGATCACTGGCCAATATTAAACAAGGAAATTTGAAATGCGTACTGATAGAAATGCGCTCAACCTGCTAACCAATAGCGCTTGCTAACGGTTAGCGTATCCAGATCCTGGTAGCTGTTTGGGAATTCTTGCACGAATGCTAACAATTAACATTAACGGTTAGCTCCCGATCCGGATTGCTCTCGTGTGAACCTGACCTTGTACTTCAGATTTTGAAAATATGATAGGGTATTTTTTATACAATTCTTTTTTCCCAAAAATATATCAAAGTAACATTTCTCTTTTAAAAATTCCATTTTAATTTAAATAAAAATCAGCCAGCAAAAATGTAAACAGCTAAAGAAAAGTTAAAACTGCTCTACAGTATGTATATATTATATTTAGAATAGCAATAAAAGTATATTGGTGCTAGTTATTTAAAGCAAGAAACAAACTAGGCACTTTTATGTTCAACTTTTGTGGACTAAAGTGACTATGTAAAGTTACATTTGTGTGGAATGTAATAAGTTTGTCATTAAATTGCTTGGACTTGGGTTGCTTGATAATAGTTTGTATTAATTTGCTTGATTCTGAATATATTTGGTATCTATGGTATATTATATAAGTATATTGCTTGTTCGTTATTTGTTTGTGAGAGAGGAGAGAGTTGTGTTTTGCTTTGTGGGATTGCATCTTCCATTTTAATTAGGTTTCTGTGGAGTGAAGTCTAAATAAATATAAAAATCAAATACAAAGTAATATAAAAAAAATATCAAAAGTGAAATAAAAAGATTGTGGGTATATTTCAGAACATAAGATAGTTGTCCATTCTCTCATACACCTGTAACATACTAGCATGAAATACTGTTGCTCGGCATGTACAGATCTTAATGTGGTTGCGTGGGCATGTAGACATTCCTGGCAACATGATCATGCATGCCGTACTGCTAGAAAACATGTGTACAACAATCTAAAGCTTAGCTATGTGTTGACATGCAATACTGTATAGCATGTGTATAGACATAAATGTAGCTATGTTCAACTTCTAAACGTGCAGTACTGGTTTAAACGAATATTTAAAAATCTAAATGTTTTTATGTGGTCATGTACAGTGAGTATGCAATGGGTTTTTATTGGCGTATGATTGCTCGGCTTCTCAGAACAAAACCCACGCTTATGAGTTAGGCAGGATATAGGACAGTTTATCCATTGCATCTTGTTACTGCCACAGGGATCCAGCCAAAATTTTGAATTTCAAAATGTCAAATTTTAATTTCAAATAAAAAGTCAAATTGGAAAAATTATATTAAATTTTTATTTTGAGCCAATTCAAAACAACAGATTGTGGAAGCTGCTTTAAGGTAAAGAAGTACAATATTAAGTGATTCTAATTTATTCAATTACAAAAGGAAACCAATATCTTGAAAAAAAAAATGTTTTTGCTTTTATTTCATATTGCCTGAAGTGAAGTTTACTATAGATTACAAGTAAATCAGGTTGCATAATTTCCATCTGAAAGGTAATATAGTTAATATTGTTGCGACTTCACTATGCTAATTCAGCCCTTAGTGTAATGTTATTTTGCTTGCGTACAATACATCTAGTGAGTAAAGGAAACCTTTACATCTTGTTTGTGTGCACTTTACATCTACATTTTTGAATCGATGTAATAATTGTTATTGCATTTCAAATACCTGAATTAGTCAAATTTCTAAAAACAACCTGTCTGACATGTACGTGTTAATTAACCAGGAATTTGATTTGATGGAGTAGAAATTAATGTGATTAACGCAAATGGTTACAGAGCGTGTATTTTGGCATTGTTTTCTCGTTCTTGTCGACGATTTATGATAGACTTAACTACAGTATTGTGATGTTTGAAATTAATGGATTTTGACTGTGGAACTTAATATATCCAGGTACCATAAACCTAATTCTGATGTTATAACTTATTAACTATGTGTGGTATGAACATTGAATGCGGAGTTGCGTGGGAGTGAAATAGATCAGTCACTTTACAATTTGACACATGGGGGAATTTATGTTTTGGTGTGATTATTTTCAATCCGTTATTTGTTGTGGAAAGTAGTTATTTTCCAATTCAGCAAGTTTGTGTCATAAATAGATATTAGGAATACAAAACAAAAATAAGAATGTTTATTTACGGTAGTTACCGGTAAGTTCTCGAGACATGAATTTTTACCTGTGCATATGCAAAGTTGCACCTGTGCAGTTTATAGTGCATGATACACACAATTTACTAACATGGACCAATCAGATGATGTCATTCATCATTAAAGTAGCAATGGTGTCATTCACCTGTTGGTGATACTACTAAATTCACCAGTAAAAGTGCCATTCTTCTTGCATGTACACAAGACATGTGTCAAAATACCCATGTAGGTGTATTATATAATCTGTCTCAACATGGGTCTGTGTGCGCCTGTACAGTACTTCCATATGTCCCTGTGTACCTGTACATGTGTCTGTGAACCTGTACATACATATGCCATTGTGCACCTGTACAGGTGTATTTGAGCCTCTATTTAAATTTTGGCACACAAGAAGTATTCCTGAATATACGCTTTACAAAATTCATTATTTTATTTGTTGATGCTTATTGTGCTTGTTTTGTAAGAAATATTTATCCAAGAATAACATCCCATGTTGCAATTCATTGCTAAGAAAGTACGAGTAGTCTTTACTAAGCCCCTTGTAAACAGTTAATCAGAGATTGCAATACAAACAAGGATTTTCAATCAAGATGTTGAAAGATACAGCAAGGAGAAATATGTACCTCCTTGGATACAGATCACCCACCTTTGGTACCTGAAACTTTGGGGTGGTCTTGGGGTATTGGCCTCCACATGGAGGGTAGATTAGTGTTAATAGATTGAATTTTTTGTAAAAGTGGTCTCGAATTCAAGGAGTATTGGAGTTAGAGCAATCTTGAATTATATGGTGCATATACAAATACAGATCTCCCTCCAATTAAAGACCACTTTTAGGATGGGTGTTTCCATGGTCTTTAGCAGCTTTAATCTCTAGAATAATAAAGATAAAAGACATTGTTAATATGGGACCACAGAAAAGCGGTCTTTAATTGGAGGGCTCTTTAAGTAGGGGGAGACCTGTATAGAGTTCTTTATTTCAAAGCTTTATTTATTTCCACCTATAAATAAGTGTTCTTTTGAATTTAACATTTTTTAACTGTAGTTTATTCTTGGTTGAAGAAGAATTGTTGTGTTGCCATGATGTAATTTTTTTTATAAAAGAAATTGTACTAAGTTTTGTTCTGCCCACTGGAGTTTGTAGCTAAGGAGACTGTAGCACAGATAGTTTTATCAAAGATACTAGAAATACAAGATAGAGCACTCGCATAGTAAAAATGAGGCGGAAATTGGGCCCGACGTAGGCGGCGCCCTTCTTTATTATAACGCAGGTTTCCTATACTTCGGGCCCGACGTACTGGGCGCCCTTCTGTTGCTAAGTATATCCAGGCGCACATGGCGCCCTTCTTCCTTCTTTTTCCACTAATGGAGAAAAACTTTATCACTAGAGTGCGTCCGTCCGGCCATATGATTCTGCGCTATATTGTTGTTTTCTATACTGATCCATAGGCTTAATTGTTTTGTGTTTTATTTGGATAATAGCAACGATTTCTACCTCCGCCAAGGAGGTTATGTATTCACTGATGTCACTGTCTGGGTACAATTGTACTAATCGCACAATTGTGTACAATTTTTTAATTGAGGATTGACAATTAAATACGCGATGACTTGGCAACGAAAGTTTGGTAGAAGTTTTTTAGATCCAGCCGTATGGGGCGCCCCATTGTTTGTATTTCCACCATGCATTTCGGTGGAACACTCTATCTTGTGTTTCTAGTATCTTTGGTTTTATCATTTTGCTATCATAAGACCTGTCCACACTATCCGTTTTTATGTGACGAAAACATGTGTAAATATGAATAAATATACAGAAAATCTTTGGTCAAAGAAAATTTGATAGTCTGGACAGAGCTTTAAAATAGTTGTTGCAACCCTCTGTAATTTGCTATGCATGTAACAGGTCTTAAGCCACATTTACATTGGATTTAACTAAGACAAAGTTTCAAAGGGTAACATAGCCTGGTCAAAATGTTTATCTGTTTACACTTGAATTTAAATTTGGTAGGTTTTACAGAGACTTACATGCAAATGATCACTTAAATATGCATCTGTAACATTCTAACTTGATTTTTAAACAAATGAAATAAGTACAGTACATGGGTGTATGCAGAGGGGGTCGGGAAGGTCGTACGATCCCACCCCCCCCAAAAAAAAAAAAAAGATTTTATTTTTTTTCCAGACATTTTTTTCTAGGTCTTTTCACAACGGCAAATGAAAAATCATTGATGAAATACCAGCAATGAGTCCAAAAACCTTGCCAATTGTGTGACGTAATCTATCTCAATTTCATAAATTTTTAAACTGAGCCTGCCATCCGCTTCAAGCAAATTGTATTGACATTTGAATCACATCTTCTTGTTATTTCATTGTGAAAAGGTTATGATCATTGATAAAAAATTATGATCACGACCCACCCAGAAAAAATCCCAGATACACCCCTTCAGTAGCCCTTATTTAGGCGAACAAAATTTGTTGAAACACAAGCTTTTGCTAGCTTCATCAGGTAAATGAAAAGCAGAGGATCAAACTGTTCAAAATCAAATACTGTAGCTTTTTTCACAGTACCATCACCAATTTTTTTTTTTTTTTTTTTTTTTAAATACCCGGTAGCTGTTCTTACAGCAATTGTAATTTTCTACCACTTTTATAAGACCTATCATCCATGATGCTTTGTTAATCCCTGGGGCCAGATTTATCAAACTAGAAATCAGCTTAAATTCGTCCATTTTTTTCCTTATGTCAAATTTATCCATATTGCTTAGCTTAAAAATTGCTTAAAATTAGAAAGTCGATTGTACGTTGGCGCCATCTAAGACGATTTTTAAGCCAAGATTTTGCTAAGATTGGGTAATAAATCAGCTTAATATATTTATTAGGGACATCTTAACTTTTTTGACTTAAGACATTTGCTAAGCTGAGATTGATAAATTCCGGGCCTGGTCTCTTCTAGCCAGCCATTATGTTTATATTTTGTTTATAATTTGCCTCATTTACATAATTTGTTTGAACAGTTGATCCTGTTTACTTCCTTTACCTCTGAAGTTGTGTTTCAATAAATTTTGTTAGTCTAAATAAAGTGTTAATAATAATAGTTCTTTCTTATATAGTGCAAAAGTATCTACTTATTTCGTTTGTATTTCATGCTACTGATTATGTGAATTTAACTTTCATTAAGGAGCTTTTCATTTGTTCGGCGATGCTAGAATGGAATCACTCATGCGTGACCGTCCTTCAGCACGTCCTACATTCTTTGCATATGTAGATTTGGCCAAATTGCATCCTAGAATCCGTGTGACGAGAACCTAACATTCTCGCATGCGCAAATGACTTTTTGTGACGTCATTTCGTTCTATGTCCTTCCGTTGTCGTGCAATCGAAAGCCCCCTATTATCATTATCAAGATTGTTATAGCACACATTTAAGTTTCCAAATTCTGACCTTTTGGTGCACAAATATAAAATTATATTTTTGATTATGTGTAGTACCAATGTTTGACTGTTCGCATCAAATTTTTCTTCTTGGTGCAAAACAAACGGCGCATGATTCGCATTGTTTGAACATAGTAATTCAAGGAAAATAATCTAATATGAAAAAAGCTTAAGGACACATAACAATTTCTTTAATGTACAAGTACTTTCAATTCACCCATGGAATTTTTAACTATAAAAACATGAAAATGTCTAATTTCTTGTGTAGAAGTACTTGTAGTGTACTTCAGTGGTTTACCACTGGAATTTGTAACTATAGTTTCAAAAAATTAATGTCAAATACTGTCCCATGTTACAGCGGAACTTACAATATTAGTGTTTGTTGGTGATGTTCAGCAAGAGTTTTTCAATAGGCAGTGGCACCAGTCTTAAACCAATTCTTAATTCTGACTGAATGTTCTGTCATAATAATATCCAATCAGAATTCAGAATTGATTTAAGAGTGTTGTAAAAATAGCAACTCCCCTTAGTATATCCATTTGTATGTAGTGTTTAGACAAAAAAAAAAGACATTTGTACCAACTAACACCAGGCTTACTGATGAACGACACATTTATTATGCAGGAAAACTTTGTTTTTAATTTAAAAAAAAAAAAAAACATCTATAAGATTTTTTTTTTTTTTTTTTTTTTAATTATTTTCCATTACGTGCTTTTTCTGGATTGTTTTGTAAATCACATTATAAAGTAGCATCTATTTACAGGTATGAATGTGTTTTGGCTTGTTTCTCTAGAAGAAACATTACATTGATATTCCAATTTCAAAAGCTGTTAATTCTTTTCATCCAGGGAATATTCCTCCCTGGTTTGATATTTTGTAATTCTAATCTAAATTGCAACTATATAATCCTTAAATGTTACATTTGTTTAATATCTGAATAAAAATGTAGATTTCATAATGCTATTATACCATTTAAAACATATGCAAACATTTAAAAATGTATGGTATCGATATGATACGATTTCTGTAATATTTTGATGTGTAATTTACAGTATGTGATGTGCCCATATATGGGTATGGTGATGTCATACCACACCCAAATATCGCCATATCACATTTTTTTTGTTGCATACAATTTGATAGGGTGGACAGAGCTTTGTCTTTATTGGTCCATCAAACCATTTAAAATCCATGTTGATGGTGTAATCCTGAGTGGGAGTGTGTTTATGACAGTATCTTTGAGGGGGTCCGTGGGAGAAAAGGTGCCTCACAGTTTGAATTATTGTCGATATGACATAGACCTATATCTGTTGATCACCACTAATGGTTGATGCCATGATGATATTAACAATAATCAAGATAATGACTGATGTGCCATTATCCTTGATTTTCTTATGGCAGAGGCCTCTTAAATTTGCTGATTTTGTTAAACCACCTGCAGAATTGTGAAGTATAATAAATGTATCTCATGGAATTGACTGTAAAAAGCAGTGATCACAAAGTGAAATTTATTCCAATGAATAAATGAATAAAGAATGTATTAATTAATTTCACAGATAACTGTGCAATGGGAAGGGTAGAGAGGGGATATGGGAGGGGGATATATACAGGAGCTTTGAGTGATGCTTTCAATTCCCAAAATACCTCTTGTACAGTATTGTTGCTGTTAAAACTGGTACAAAGCTATTTTTAGGCAGAAAATTAGAAGAGATCTCATAATTATGAAGCATAGATTTTCTAAGTACAGTTTATTCAAATAAAATTCAAATTAGACATATAATTACTGGAATGATAATTTAATATTGTGTTGATGTTTCAATCTTCAAAATTAATGTTCAAGAGAGTTTTCCTTATTTCAGTATAATCAGAAATATTATTGATATTAATATTTATTACAAATATTTGATAGTGTTTAATTAAATAATTACTACCTTCTTTATAAAATGATAGCAATGATGTAGAAAAAAGAATTTTAAAATTAATATTGTGCTGATATATTATTGATGTGTACTGTCTGTCAAACTGGGATCAGGTAGAGCTTCTTGATCAACAATAAGTATAACTTATCAATGTAGGAACAGATATTATTGCTGTTATTATTAAACAGTTAACGATCAATTTGTTTGAATTTTTAGTCTGCTGCAAGCTAGAGTCGGCAGTTCTCGTTTGAATTTTTGTTCATGAAAAATCCTATGCATATGTGATAAGGAATAAAATTGTCATAAAATATCTTTTTGTGGAAGTTTTACTTGTATTTTTAGGATTAAACTTGAATGGAGTTTGAGTTTGTGGCACATAATTAATACCATTTTTATTGCTATTACTGAACATTCTTGCATACGAAATTGTTTTGAGCTGTAGGGGGTAGAACAGGCTTATACTAGGGAACCAGAAAATGAAAACAAAATGTGGCTTGCAGTCAAATGGCTAATTTCGATAGCTTTTGCATATGCCTCATGTATAGTCTAGACACCAGGCCTCGCAAAAAGGTCTGTAGCCCAGGGCTAGGCATATTTTTGCTAAATATTCAGTGCAATATATTATTTTTTTTAACTTCGGCACACAGAAAAAGTACATTTCATATTTGGTTCAATATACTTAAAGAACTGACAGACAGTTGTATAATGGCAGCCCCAGTAGCGGATGCAAGGGGGCCCAAAATTATGCTTTTAGACCACTATGTAACTCAAAGAAATGGTAAAGATTATAATTAACAGTAAGTAAGTTTTCATAATTCTTGATGCCCATAAGGTCGTGTTTCTAGACATCACCATAAGTAAACGAAATCCATTTTCTCAAGCACCCCTGGCAAATAGGAGAAATCACTATGAATATGGAATTTTTATTTGATATCCTACACCAATCGGTTGAATCAAATGTCCACTTAATTGTTCCAACTGTTCAATCATGCAAGCTTGTTGCCATAGCTGTAGTATATGTACCGTAAATGCAGACGAATACATCGCATCTCTAGGATATATTTTCTGGGTGGGGGGGCTAAGTTGTCTGATAGGGGGGCTTGAGCTCGTAGGCTCGAGCTGGGAGAAGGGGGTGAGAGGGTGT